CTCTATATTCTTGCCTCCAAAGAGCACTCTAGCTGTACCCTCTCCAAGACATGTCTGTTGGTTCTCTTGGTTATCCAAGGGATGTTCAGTACTCTTCTCCAACACCACAGCTCACAGGCATCAATTATCCTGTCATCCCTATTCAGATACACAGCAAGTGACTGGAAAGAATATGCCCTGAATTAGATGCACCTTAGTCCTCAAACTGACATTACTCCCCAATAATTTGGAGAGGTCCCTCGCTGCAGACTTAGTTCCTGATTTCCTGACTGCTGGTACCAAGGATGTTAATTGTGGATCCAAATAAGATGAAGTTGTTGATGGTTTCTTCACCCATCATGATGTTGCCTATCAGTCCAGTTGTAAGAATATTTTCTTGATACTGAGACGCAATCCATACTGAAGGTTGCATTCCTTGAGCTTTTGCTGCAAGTGCTTCAAGTCCTCCTCACAGAAAGGACAGCTGTGTCATCTGCACAACACAGGTTATTGATGAGTCTCCCTCCAGTCCTGATGCCACATTCCTCTATCATCGAGTCCAGCTTCTCAAATAATTTGCAACGCAAACTCAAAACTCGTGTGATTTAGAACCTCTGAAACCCTGCTGGAGCAGTTTCAGCATAATGGCAAGGAGTCTGAGTTTCTATTTCACCAAACCTGTCGTTCTCCAGGGACTCGTCCCTCCTGTCAATGTACAAAGTGCTCACGATCCCCCACATCCATGGAACATCCTGGCAAGACGGATTTGTTTGTTCTCTGCCAGGCTACGGTACATTGAAAACTTTCCGACAATAACCGTAACTCAAAGACATCAATACCACGGTCTTCCTTAATCGTCGCCCAGCATGCACATGCAACTGAAAACCTTTTCTTTATGTTGATATGAAACTCACACGGCAGGGTATAGCCTTTAACGGTCATCAAATGTTTTCTGTAGATTTTTTGGCTAGTGCTCCAGGTTGTGCTTCCCAGACACTCCCAAGCTATTTGTGGTTTGGTTTTTTTTTCAGATCCTTTGTACTCAGTAGCCCCTGGGTCCCCCTGCACTGGTGGCTCCCCTCACACTAGCCTTAATTCAGGTATCTCTTAAGGCCTGGTATCCCTCCATCCCCAGCAGTGGACGGTCTACTTTGACATTTTCTCTACTGTACTTCGTGTCTGAGCTGAGTCTCACTGTTGTCCTCATTCAAAGACAGGGCTGGGCAGTGCCCTAGCAGTGGCAATAGTGGCCTGCACCAGGAGTCCCAAAAACAAACGACGAAGAAGTCAGGGAACTGGGACTTGCAATCAAAGCTGACTGCAAGATTTTGTAGATAAAGCATGGCTTCCATCAGGTCTTGAGGGATCATCTGATCCCAAAGTAACACTGGTTAGGAACTTCGGTTTTAAACGTTTCCTAAAATCCTTACACACACACACCCCCGCACTGTTACTGAGGAGTATTTTTACATTTATAATGAAATGACTTGGTTAAAGAAATTATTTGTAGCCCTGGTGTACAAGTTGCTGTCCCGCGGTCACTTGTGGTTGTTGTGAGGCTCAACACTGTGACACGGATGTGTCAAATGTGTTAATGGTTGGCTGGCTACCCAATGTGGACTGAGAGTGGGGTGGAGCTCTGCGATTAAACAAGCTTGAAGCAGGAGTGGCATCCACTTCCATAATAGCTTGCCTCTGGAAACCCTATGAACTTGGAGAGAGGATGAAAGGCACCCAAGCATCAAGGACTCTCTTTCATAGGGTCGCTATGAGTCGCCTGCGACTCGATGGCACTTAACAACAACATTAAGTACTCAATGAATTCTCACTGCCTATAATCTCACACTGCTGAGGTGGGGAAAGGAGAAGAGCTTGTTCTCAGAACTCGGCATGTTCCCGGATTCTTCTTTCCAGGGAGCGCTGAACTACATTTGGAAAAACCAGGTGGGTGCCTCTTAACAGACATGTGTGCTCATGGGGGGAACCCTGAGTGCTCCTCTCTGTTCTCCACGATGTTTTGTGGTGGACAGCCGCCAGAATGACCACCTCCAGTGCTTCTCACCACTTCAGAGTCTACACAGCCTCCACAGTGATGTGACCACAGAGGATGGCAAAAGCGATATGAGACTTCCAAGGATTTATAAAACACAGTGCAAGTTCCGCTGTCACTGGCCCTGGCTGCCGGCAAAGGAGCCAGCTGTCATGTTACAAAGACTTCTGAGCAGCTGTGCAGAGGGCACCTGAGCCCTCCGGCCAACAGCCAGCCATGGGCACGTGCCTCCCTACAGCCGGGCCTGGTAACCTCCGACCAGCTGTCAGATCACCACAGCCCTGGGCAGCATCTTGAATGCAACTTCACTGACCCATGGTTAGAGAAAGAACCACCCAGCTACCCGCCTCCTAAATTCATTTCGAGAAATGAGAGAAGGATGTTTAACGGTTTTAAACAATAGTTTTGAGTGTCTGTTGGGGTGGGGATTGTGGGGCAGTATTCAGTGTGGCTCTTCTACCCACTGGCTTTGATTTTCACCACCTGGCTGGGTGGAGGTGGTCGTGCTGTGAGGGACTGTTGAATCAAGTACCACACACAGTGACCCTATGAACAGAGCTGAACCCTGCCCCATCCTGTGCCGTCCTCATCACACACACTCCAGCCTCTTTCTGCAGTCACCGTGTTGATCCATCTCGTTGGGGGTCTTCCTCCCCTGTGCTGACCCTCCATCTTCCCAAGCATGACGTCCTTTTCCAGAGAATAGCCTTGCCTGGCTACACTGCCAAAGCATGAGACGAAGTCTTGTCATGTTTGCCTCCAAGGAGCATTCTGGCTTCACCTCCTTCGAGACATGTCTGTTTTCCTGGCAGTTCATGAAATGGATCTTTGCAGGATTCCAGGAAGAACCCCGAGCCACAGCCCAGTGCCTGACAGGGTCATCCAGCTTGGGTGGGCCTGAGGTGGGCCTTCCAGGAAGACATCTGGGCCACAGCCTAGTGCCAGCAGGCCCTTGGGCCAACCACCAACCCCTCTATCCAGCCCCCCATCCTGACAAGCTGTTACAGGCCTCAGCTCGGGTTGAAAAAGGGTGTCTTGTTCCATATTTGTATGTATGACTGTCTTTATGTTTTGCCGTTAGAAGTACACCACCTGTCAGTTCATTATACTGGGGAATGATTTCTTTGTTACCAATTGCTTTATGGGAGTTCTGCTGGCTTCTTGTTATGGGCCACTGAGTTGACTCTGACGTGACTCTGTGAAAAACGGGCTCTGAGCCCTGCCCTGTCCTGAGCCAGTCTGTCTCTGACACACCTGACCCCACTGCCACAGTCACTGTGTCAATCCATCTCATCTGGGTCTTCCTCTCCTGCACTGTCTTTCTCCAAGTACCTCCTGATGCCATGCCCAAGGTATATGAGACAGAGCTTCAAAATCCTTGCCTCCAAGGAGCACCCTGGTTTCATCCTTCACAGGACAGATCTATTTGTTCTCTTGACAGTCCATGGTATGTTCAGTACTCTTCTCCAGCACCACAGCTCAAAGGCATCAACTATTCTTCTGTCATCATTAGTCATCATTCAGATGCACAGTAACTGGGGAGACCACGGCCTGGGTGGGGTGCACCTTAATCTCTAAACTGGCACTGTTGCTCTTTAGAATTCTGGAGAGAGACCTGGTGGCTTTGTTAGGCGTTATCAAGTCACAGAAGACCCATGCTGACCCTATGAACAATACAGCGAACCCATCCTGTCCTGTGCCGCCCTCACACTTCTTTTTTTTATTATTATTATTATTATTATTATTATTTTGTGTGCGTGTACCGTCAAATCAGATCTGACTGGTACAGGAGGATATTGTGCCTCCTTCTCCGGCAGAGCGTCTGGTGGATTCGAACCGTGTTCCTCTGAGATTGCAGTGCAGCTTCTTGCCACTAGGCCACCAGAGCTCCCACCCTCACACTTCTTGACACTCTTGAACCCATCGCAGAAGTGACTGCATTAATTAGTGTAGCCCAGGCTCTTCCCCTCCTTCGCTGACCCTCCACCTCTCCCAGCATCACGTGCCTCTCCAAGGAACAGCCTCTCCTAGCCACATGCCCAAAGTATGTGAGATGAAATTTTACCATCTTTGCCTCCAAGAAGCACTCTGGCTGCACTTTCCCCAAGACATATTTCTCTGTTCTTTTGACAGTTCATGGGATTTTCAACACTCTTGTCCAACAGTTCAAAGCTCAATGCTTCTTCTGTCATCCTTATTCATTGTCCAGCTCTGAGACGCAAAGCAAGTGACCTGAAAGACCATGGCCTGAATCAGTTGCACCTTAGGCCTCAAACTGACATCATTGCTCCTCAATAATTTGGAGAAGTTCCTGACTGCAGACTCTCCCAGTGCAATACGTCATCTGATTTCCTGACTGCTGGTCACATAAGTGGAAGGAATAAAAGTAATTTACTCATGAGAAACCAGTGGGTGGATCAAGGGTCAGGAGAAGATAATCCTGGCACCTCCACCTGCCCCTCATTGTCCCCCAATCCCTGGTTATATTTGTTTTCACTGTTACAAGGTATGTTCCCGGTGGGAGAGAATAGGAGTCTAAGGCCATTGGCACGTGATCTCTGGACGCCAGAGGACACATCTCCACACTGGAACACAGCATGCAGGACAAAGGGCTCTTTATTCAGACAGCAGGGTAAGGCACAGCAAAGTGAGGCCAGACTGTCTCCACACCGGGAGGCTCAGGCCACCAGCAAAGCCCCTGGGCTTCTGTCAGGCAGACTCTTCCTGGCTCAAGAGAAGCATTTTTCCAGAGTGAGAAACCAGGCCACGGGCTCCAGTGTCAACAGGTGGCAGTGGCCTCTGGTCAGCACTCCTGGAAGTGGCTGATGAGAGCGTCCATCAGCTCCTGCTTCTTCAGTCCGCCCTTCAGCCCGTACAGCCTGCAGGCTTCCTTGAGCGCGGGCACAGTGAGCTTCCCCAGCGTGCCCTTGCGGATGTGGGCCTTCAGCTCCTCCTCAGAGACCTCCACTTTCGGCCTTTTACTCTCAGAACCATCGTTATCTGGGGAAGGAGATCAGAGAGTACTACCAGCGACATCTCAGCTGCCCATCTGACCCGGGCTGCAGTGTTGCCATTTTGCCCAGAGGTGCCTGGCTCCTCCCTCTTTGGTGTATTGATAAGGCAGCTCCATTTACGTGTAAAGCCAATCATCTCTCACACCCAGGAGGGAGGGAGCAGGAGTACTGTAATAGAGTGAAGGCCATCACTTTACTCAAAAGTTCTGCTGGTTCCGGTGAGTGAGTCATCCCGCCCTCCCTCACTCCTCCTTCACACAGAGCGTTTGTACCAGGCACTGTGCAGGTAGCAAGAACGTGGAGGCTGAGAGAGGGACACAAGCAGACTGTCAAATTGTGGGCAGCATGTGAAGAGCTGGGCCGGCATCGCACACCGGACACCACGAGTTACTTTGGCTGCACAAGGAAAAATCACCATCAGCTCTGAGCTAAGTCCTCAGAGCTCCACTGCCTCACGGTTCTGCTGGACAAACAAGATCCTAACATGGCTTTATGTGACCAAAGTGAGGCAAAGAGATTACAAACTAAATCGGGGTCTTCTGGGCCACCCAGTCAGAGGTCAAGGCCACATGCAGGTTAAACTAGAAGACAGTCAAGGTACAGAGATGGGAAGATGAAAAGGGATGCTTTCACAAGGGTTTCATGCTTATCTGGAGGTGCTGTGGACATTACCCAGGAAGGCCCGATCCCTGGAGGAGACCCCATATGGTAAAGGGTCATCGGGGAGGAAGGCCTCACAAGGACTGACACAACGGCCCCAACAGTGGGTTCAAATCGGGCACCGAGTGTGGGGAAGGTGCAGAACTGGGTCGTGCTTTGCTCTGTTGTACAGTTGTCATGACTCAAAACCAGCACCTAACAACATGGATGGGTGGCTTTAGTGGTAAGGAGTTGCAATGCCTATCCAAAGGCACCGAGTTCGAATCCAGCAGCTGCTCCACAGGAGAAAGATGGGCAGCCTCCTCCTGTGCGATTTATTGCCTTTGAAAACTAGCTGGAGGATCAGCTATGGGTCAGCTCCAACTCGATGGTGCACAGCAACAACACGGATAATGAATGCTGCTTCTATTTAATGTTGTAAAACAAACCTAAACGTGTGCTAGAAAGGAATAGGGGAAATTATATAACAGAAAGAAACCAACTCCGCCTTCAGCTAATACTTGACTGGATATGCTAAAAGGGGAACCAGGAAAGGCCTGAAAAAGACAAAGGTCTGTTGGTGTGAATGAGTCCCCTTGTATAAAAGACCTTCAAAGCCAGCTGGTGGCCTAGTTGGGAGGCAGCTGTGCTGCTAATTCAAGGGTGGTGCCTTGAATCCACCAGCAGAGCTTCTTGGGAAAAGGATGTATAATGAATATTGGTCATGAAAACCTGGGCTCCACCCAGTGGAGCGAGACAGGAACAGCCAATGCTCATCACAAGAAACTCCAGGTAGAGCTGGGAGTTAAAGGGAACCTATGAGGAGAGTGACTGGTAGAACCATTTGTGGTGACTGCCGGGGTTCACCTAGCGAGTCAAGTCAGGAAGTTAGCAATGAAGAGATGAGCTAGGTGTGAACAGAAGACATTAGTGCCCTAGAACTAGCCCATTGGGACTGAAGAGGAGAGCAAGAGAGAGAGGGGCAAAGGGAAATTTAGAGGGGGGAGGGAAGAGAGAGTGCAGTGGGGGGAGAGAGAGAAGGGGCTTCCTGTTCTGAAGTGCAAGCAGTGTGGGGATCCCTGAGCCTGCAGCTGATACCCACAGACCTGAGGGGCAGACCAGAAGGTGACACCCTCAGTGGGTAGAGACTGCTTGCTACAATTTGATGGCTCCCCTGTGGAGCTGGACCATGCAGGTAAAGTGTATGGAACCATAAGCAGGAGATTGGTCAGTATTGCTATCTCTCTAGCCTTAAAAAGAGACAATCCAGGGTCAGGAGTGTGGAAAGGGAACTACCATCAGACAGAAGAGATGAGCTCAACTCTTAGACCCAGACACTCTGTACTGAGAACCTCCTACACCAGGAGACAAAGAGCTGTAACAACCAAGATGGTGAGAGAAGTGGACACAGTAGAAGCAGGAGACTGGGTAAGGTGATGGCACAGAGGGCTTGCTGACATGGACACATGCAAGGTGATGGCACAGGGGGCTTGCTGATGGGGCAAGGTGATGGCACAGTGGGCTTGCTGATGGGGCAAGGTGATGGCACAGGGGGCTTGTTGACATGAGGAAGGTGATGGCATGGGGGACTTGATGACATGAGGAAGGTGATGGCATGGGGGGCTTGATGACATGAGGAAGGTGATGGCATGGGGGGCTTGATGACATGGACAGAGGCAAGGTGACTGCTGGGGGGCTTGCTGACGGGGCAAGGTGATGGCACGGGGGGCTTGCTGACATGGACAGAAGCAAGGTGACCGCACAGTGGGCTTGCTGACATGAGGAAGGTGACTGAACAGGGGGCTTGCTGACATTGGGAAGGTGATGGCACGGGGGGCTTGCTGACATGGACAGAGGCAAGGTGACTGCACGGGGGGCTTGCTGACGGGGCAAGGTGATGGCACAGGGGGCTTGTTGACACAGGCAAGGTGACCGCACAGTGGGCTTGCTGACATGGGGAAGGTGATGGCATGGGGGGCTTGCTGACACAGCAGGAAGAGAGGCCTGGGCTGGTGCTGCTGTTGGCGATTTTCCCACTGACATAAGTTAGGGAGATCAGATGTTGTCATTTTCTTATCCATAAAGGCAACTCTACAATAACCCCTGGAGTCCATGTCCATGCCCAGCTCCTCACCTTGTCTCCTCTTAGTAGTTTTCCCCTCCGGATTATAATTTGGTGGGTAGACTAGCTCCTTAAACTCCTCCACTAGGGAACCCAGTCTCTTATCAATTGCTTCAGTCTTGGGCACTAGAAAATCAAAGCACAGAAGAGTGGCTGGTTGAGTCATGGGTTTTAGTTCTTTGTCCAGAACCAGAACAGAGCACAGCTAACTTCTGGATTAGGGGAAGGACAAAGAAAGGGCAGATGGGGAGGCAGCTGATCCGGCCACAGAAACATCTCATGAAGTTTCACATCCCTCAATCATCTCCCAACAATCCAACACAGTGAGGGCTGACTGGAGCCGGCACTGTTTCAGCTGCTTTCTTTCATCCTCCAATCACCCTGTTCTGGGGTAAACCAGTCCTTTTTGACAGGGAGGAGAAGCAGGAGTGTAAAGGATGAGCTCAAGGTCAAGCAGCGCTGAGTGGCAAAGCTGGGATGGAGATCCTGGGCTGCAACCTGAGATTCAAACCAGCACCCAGTCCGTGCCCTTAGCGACTTACTGTCAAGACAAGTAAAGCATAAACATAACCAAACAGGTCATGTTTCCCGAGGTGCTGTTTGGAGCGAGCACACGAGCACGTGAGGGGCAGGAAGGACCATGGGGCAGGTGCCTCTCCAAGCAGGAGCAGGAGGGGATGCAAATGAACACCCTGGACAGCAGCATCCAGCTGGGACTATGTCACCTCCAGAGCTCGTGTCCTTAGCCACCTGCTGGCACCAGGTGAGAAGGGCAGGTGGTCCTGACTGTGAGGGCAGGACCTGCAAGGAGGCTGGAAAGGCAGGAGGACAGCCAAGTCTTAACCACCACAGCGTTGTTTTTTTAGGGAGGTGAGCAATGAAACTACACATAAAAAAACCTGCCAGTCAACAATTCTGACATCTCCAACTCAGTGGCCTTGATTATAATCTTGACGTTGTGTGACCACTGTCACCATCCCTTCCAACTTTCTCCATCTCCATTCAACAGTCTCCAGGGTCCACTGGTTTTGCACAGCTCTGAAGAGGCATAAGCAATGGAGCCATCAAGCTCAGACTGGCATTTTAAAGATGACCCAGCAGCAGCGTGGAGTGTGGAATGAAAGCGTGTGAGACAAGACAGGAACAGTATACGAGTACAATTCATTAACGTTCCTCCTAATGTCACTAACGATCCCTCTGTTGTGTGTAGTCCAGTAGAAATGCCCCACATTTCCCAGGCTGTGATCTTCACAGAAGAACATCACCAAGTCTCTGTCCCAGTGAGTGGCTGGTGAGTTCAAATCACAGGCCTTTCTGATTAGCAATAGAGCATTTTAACTGTTAGGCCATCAGGACACTTCAGCGATGATTTTAAAGTTGGAGGTGACAGTACTGTGTTGAGTGAATGAATGTGAAGAGAGACCACCAAGAAGGCTCCACTTAGTGTCTGATCCTTTTAGCCAAGAGACTTCATTAAACCCCATCTGCCTCCCAGTGGATACCCCTTACATCACTAACGCTGGGCCCTCTCCTGTGAAAAAAAGGAGAATGCCGACGAGGAGGGACTTGAGCAGGTCCCTGAACCTGACTCGGAGACCAGGCAAGAGTCCCCAGATGCTGGGAGCCCAGCTGGAAATTCTTGGGGCTGCACACAGTCTGATGAAGGGCAAACGCTCACTGGATGCCTAGTCTAGACTCACCAGTCAGTAGCTCAGTGCTGTGGGCAAGCCACGCCCCTCTCCTTGCCCTCGTGAGTCTATAAAGCTCCCACCTCAGCACTGAGACGATTAAATTAGCCCACACACAGGATAAAAGCCTCTGGCAGACACACAGCATACTCGGTAAATGTCCTCTTTTTTCGAACCAGCACGTCCTGACAGAGTGGCCTAGCTCTGAGGCAGATTTCAGAAGCTTAACACTCGCTCCTCCTATTGGCGCAGCCCCAGGAACGAAGCCTCTCCATGAGCCCAAACTGGCCTGTAGTCTCTGCGAGGAGCAGGCTGCTGGGGTCATGCGGCCCCATGGCTGGTCCAGGGTGAAATCAATAAGGCCTCCCTGAAAAGAAGCCACTCTTGATTTTGTCAAAACCTCCTTACTTGTCAGATCCACTGCTTGTTCAGGCTCCATCAAGTCCAAGGCCAAGGCCTCCAGGTTCCTGAAGTGCTGCTGCAGAACCGGGTTCTCAAAGCTGTCACTCCTGTAGGAAAGCAAGTCAGCTTGTCAGTCCTGCGGGCGGATGTTCACAGCAGCGCTGGTCACAGTTACTGAAAACTGGAACAGCCGATGTCCTTCAGGAGGTGCCTGGAGAAACAAACCGGTCCACCCGTACAACGGAGCTTCATTCAGTGATCAAAAATGAACAATTAAAGGTAGGACTGCAGAGCCACTACCTGCACTACTGTCAGCAAGCTGCACACCTGTAACAGGATTAATCCCTAAGTGTTGAGACATATATGCACACCCACGTTAAGTGCAGCTTTATTTACAACAGCAAGGAGCTGGAAACAACCCAGGTGCCCATCAACAAACGAATGGATAGAGAAGCTGTGATATATTCACACAATGGAATACTACGCTGCATTGAAAAACAAGGAACTCACGAAATATTATACAAAATGGGTGACCTTGGAGGACTTATGCTGAGTCAAATATCTCAGTCACAAAAGGACAAATACTGCACGGTGCCACTGTTGTAGAATGGGACTGACATCAGGGTTGGGATAAGACTGAGAAAAACTGGATAAATTATGTATACTGCATTGAAACAGATGAGGTAGAGAATAATTTAAAAGCGATATATGATAGGGTATTATAGTTATCACAAGAGTCCACAATTAAGGGTGCATAGTGGAGTGTACCTGGGGCGGTGGGAGGGGTACGGGGGGACTGTATACCAAAGAAAGAATTTTTCTTTTACTTTTTCAAAGAGAGGAGTGAACTTGGAGGGAGGATATTAGAGGGGAGGGTTGGGCAGGGAGAAAAGTGCAACAATGAATGAATGGAAATCCAAAATCTCTGTAAATGTTCATTAAAATTATTAAAATGAAATAAAATAAAAAGTGTGAGACATATATTGACAACAGCAAAAGCAAAGAGGAGCTGCTGGCGCTGCTTCTACAGAACCAAAGCCCTCACAGGAGCTCGGCCCTCAGTGTGAACGTTTAGCCAGGCTTTCACGGCACATCCCAGCTAACTGGCTAGTAACAACTGTCATCACCTCTGTTCTAGCCCCAGTTTGTTGGGTGGTCTTCACAGCTTCCGTGCTCTCATCGATATGCGACAAGTGGTGTGTGTTCCCCATGAAAAACCTACACTCGATGCGCTGCTGCTGAGTTGAAACCAACTCCGAGCCGACGCTCCAGGGGTTTTCAGAGGCTGTGAATCACACGGAAGGAGACTGCCCATCTCCCTCCAGCACAGCCACTGGTGGATTTGAACCGCCAGGGGCATCACTACTCTCCGATAGTTTAGCTTTAAGTCTTCTTAAAACCAAAGAACAGTGTAGCTTAACTAAAGTTATCTACTTTGCACATTATGCTCTTTTAAAATTTACCTATGCAGAATCAAATTTTGATAGCAGTTTAGAGGGGGAGCTTAGGGGCCAGCAAGTTCATGTTCTGGAGCAGTAGAGGGGGAAGGAGTCAGGAATAGGAGATGGACTGTTGGCTCACTGCTGCCTCCTTCTGCCATGACACCAGAGCTGAATGATGATTGGCTACCGTTACTGAATCCTCTGACCAAATATTCCATAGCAAAATCTTGATCAAAAGGAGGGAAATGCAGAACAGAATCTAAAATACTCACAGAATTCAGATTTTATGAAACCATAGGGTCTGGATAAAACTTCAAAACTATTGATAGCCCTGAGGGAATTTTTAAACCTTAACCCGAAAATATTCCCTGCAGTCTTCTTGAAACCACACAACAATCTAGTTTAACTTGTCAAGAATGTCTGCTTTACACATTGTGCTTCTTAAGATCTATTTGGGAAAAAATTCACAAGAGCAACTCAAAAGATCAGAGTGGAGCCTTAGGGGACAGTCGGGTTATGTCAGTAGTGGAGAAACATTCAGAGAACCCGTGAGAACAGCGACACAACTTGAAGAACATGATTGGTATAGCTGAGTTGTACATGCCGATATCAGAGAACTGGTGTCTGTTTTGCTGTATATATTTCTCAACAATGACAAAATAAAATTATCAAAAACCCTAAAACAAAAACAATCATCATGAAAAGGCAAAGAAGAACTCTAAAAGTTACTGAAAAGGCTAAATATTATATGATTCCAACTATATGCCATTCTGGAAAAAGAAAACCTGCAAAGATAGTAAATAGTTCAGTAGTTGTGGGGGGGCAGACAGATTGCGATTTTAGGGGACACACTGGCTTTTAGGGGAATGAAACCTTTCTGCAAGATATTTTAATTGTGGGCACAAGACGGTACACATTTATCAAAACTCACAGGACTTTGTAAACTTTCATTCAAATTTTTAAAAATAAAACAACCAAGGTAGCTCTGGTAGCCTAGTGGCAAGAAACTATGCTGCAATCCCAAAGGTGTGCTGTTTGAATCCACCAAATTCTCTGCTGGATAGGGATGGGCAATCTCCTCTTGTGCCAGTACCCAACAAGAAAACAAACAAAAAGAGATAGATAGATAGATAAATAGATAGATAGATAGATAGATAGATAGATAGATGATAGAGAAAGATAGAGAGAGAGAGAGAGCGAGAAAGATGATAGAATTAAAAAAAAAAACAAAACAACAAAAACCTCACAGGATGGTACAACATGAAAAGTAATAAGCTTTAAAGAAAATGAAAATAGATTTTAGTTAACAATAATGCATTGATATTGATTCAGTAGCTATTGTTGCTGTTAGGTGCTGCTGAGTCAACTACAACTCACAGTGAGCCCATGAACAGCAGATCTGCCCCCGCCCCACCCTGTGCCATCCTCATCCTCTCTGATATACTTGAGCCCCTGTCACAGCCACTGTTGTTGGGGGTCTTCCTCTCTTTCACTGACCCCTTCACCATCCCAAGCATGAAGTCTTTTTCTAAGAACTGGCCACTCCTGATGCAAAAGCAAAATGTATTCTTTGTATCACTTGCGACTCATGGTGACCTTACCTTCAACTCTGAACCCTGTTCTACCCTTAGACAACCTTACTGTCTCTAACCGTCTACCCCCATTACCCCAGTCACTGAATCAATCCATCTCTTCGAGGGTCTTCCTCTCCTGCGCTGTCCCTCCACCCTCCCAAGCATGATGTCCTTTTCCAAGGACCCTCCTTGCAACAAGCCCACTGTATGTCAGATGGAGCTTTAGAATCCTTGATTTTTCTGTTAACCTCGAAGTGCTTTATAAAGAAATCAATTTTAAAATAATAGTAAAGAAAAATTTAAACGTTTTAATAAGAAAAATAAACCCAGCACGATCCAAGGACAGCTGACAAAAACATCTCAAATTAAACAGGCGAGAATCTCATCTCTCCCATTTTCACTTTATCGTCTGATGCTTTTGATAGAAGTTGTTGAGCTGGGGATCCAAAATTCAACTTAAAAGCAAAACAAAACCTTCACACTTGGCACTGCCGGTTATGGCAGAGAGAGGAATGGAGGGCATAAGGACATTTACACGCAGAGAAAAGAGCTGTGCAGAGTGAAGGGGACCCAGTGAAGGGACTGGGCCTGAACACTCTCTCTTCCAATACCCTCGGGAGTTAAACGGGTATGAATCTAGAGTCAGGCAGATCGAGACTCTCTGTTGGCTCAATCTCTTTCCAGCAAGGTGAGCCTGGGCAAACTGCCTCACTCCTTAAAGCTTCTGGTTTTTCATCTGAGAAATGGGTTCGTAGGACAAATAAATGAAACAATGTTGACATTATACCTGGTGAATGATAAAACCTTAATGGAAGCTAGATCTTCTATTGTGTGCCTTCAAGTTGGAACCGACCATAGCTGACCCTCCAGCAGGTTTTCAGAGGCAGGGGAAGAGACTGCCATTCCGCTACCACAGAGCAACTGCTGGATTTGAACTGCATGCCTTTGGGATTACAGCACAGTTACTTACCACCAGGCCACCAGAGCTCCATAGATTGTCTACTATTCAATAAAGAGACAACAGCAAGAGGCTACATTTGAGGGAGGAGGGAGACACTGCCCAGAGACAAACAGAGAAAGAGGAAAAATAAAAGTTGATAGAAAGTTACAACAAGGAATCAAAATTTTTTTTTCAAAGAGAAAAGTGAACTGGTGAGTGGGGTGGGCAGGGAGGAAAATGTGCAACAATGAATGAAGGGAATTTCAAGTTCTCTATAAACTTTCATTAAAATCTCAATAGAAAAATAGAAGATACACAACTATGTTTATTGTGGCTTTGTTCACAATATCAAAGAGTTGCAAACAACCCAAGTGTCCATCAACAAATGAAAAAATAGAGCAGCTGTGGTATATTCCCACAATGGAATATTATGTTGCATTGAAAAATAAAGAACTCATGAAATATTATACAAAAAAATGGGTGACATGGAGGACATTATGATGAGTGAAATATCTTAGTCACAAAAGGGTAAATATTACATAGTGCCACTATTGTAAAATGGGACTGATATTGGGGTTGGGAGAACCTAAGAAAAGAGGGGATAAATAATGTATACTGCATTGAAACAGATGTGGGAAAGAACTGTTTAAAAGGGATACAGAATTAGGTATTATTTTCACGACAAGATTACAGAAAAAGAAATGCGTATTAAAGTGAACTGTGGACTGGGGGATTGTGTAACAATGAAAGATTTTTTTTTTCTTCAAAGGGAAAAATGAACTGGGGGAGGGGTGGGCAGGGAGGAAAATGTGCAACAATGAATGTATGGGAGGGGGGAATTAAATGGAAAGAATATGCTGTAAAAAATATATATGTAAGTCCAGAATGAAGGCTACACAGTGGCGTGGACTTGTGGGGAAGGCCTGGATAACAATGAAAGTGTTTTTCTTTAACTTTTCAAGGAGAAGAGTGAACTGGAGGGAAGGGGTGGGCAGGGAGAAAAGTGCAACAATGAATGACTGGAAATCCTAAGTCTCTGTAAAGTTTCATTAAAATTAATTAAAAAAAATTATATATGTTGCATTAAAAATCATTAACTAAAACATTTAATAAAACAGAAAAAATAGAAGAAAAAAAATTTTTTAAAAGGAGATAAAGGATAAAAGGTGCAAAATAAAGGCTATGTGGCATCTCATTTTGCAGGTTCTGAGAGGGAAAGATTTGCCATCTTAGCATTCTTTTAAGCATTAATAGTAACACTGGATGTATTAACTTTCACTCATTCTGTGACAAACATTACCAAGGAGAAGGCAGTTTAAGTTGTCCCTATACTGCTATTTTTTTTAATGGTCTCACTTCACAACTGTGGAATTCTAAGTCTAGCACAAATGGTCAATTAACTTGCCAGTAAGCATGTAAGTTCTAGAGACTTCAACATAACTAGAGCTTCCAGCCTCTGTATTCACCAGAGTAGTATCAAATAATTAACTCAAAAGAATAAACTGGGGGAGCTCTGGTGGCCTAGTGGCAAGGAGCTACAACTACAATCCCAGAGGCGCACGGTTCGAATCCACCAGATGCTCTGCCGGGGAAGGTGGGACAATCTCCTCCTGTACCAGTCAGATCTGATTTGACGGTACACTCACACAAAAATAATAAAAATTAAAAAAAAAAAAAGAATAAACTGAGGGAGCTCTGGTGGCCTAGTGGCAAGACACTGCACAGCAATCCCAGAGGTACGCGGTTCAAATCCACCAGATGCTCTGCTGGAGAAGGAGGGGGGCAAGCTCCTCCTGTACCAGTCAGATCTGAATTGACGGTACACGTAAAAATAATTAAAAAAAATAAAATAAACTGCATTCTGTTGGCCTGTGTCTACATCGACTTTCAATGAAAGCTTTCAAATTGGAGTAATGATCTATCAGCTTTAAGCCACCCAGAGAAAAGACTGAAGAAAATCAGAGGCACAGAAACAATTAGGTTACAGGACCAGGTGAGCGCCAGCGGGAGTCTGGTTGGCACTGGTACCAGGGATCACAGCAGCAGGTCCCGGACAGTTGTTGTTGTTGTTGTTTTTGTTATGTGCCGTCAAGTCACTTGCGACTCATAGCGACCCTATGTACAACAGCTCTAAACTCTGCTCTGTCCTCAGCCAATCGCATTGCCTCCGACACACTCATCCCAATTGCCCTGGTCACTGAATCAATCTTTCTCCCAGAGGAGATGGACAGAGTGGGAGATAAAGTGGAAGGAGACTCTGAAGCACAAAGCAGAACAGGCTTACTGCTGTGGGGCCTCCGAGGCCATGGTCCTTCGACGTCCTTCAGGCCTGGAAATGAACTCACCCTCATGGCTCGACTTTTAGACAATGACAGAGAAGCCAATAAGGTGAACAGCAACATGAAACATATGAGACCAGAAAGGCAGCATTTGCCCAGAGATGAAGCCCAGGAGGCAGGAAGGGGTGGGAAAGGAGAAGGAACAGAAACAGTAAATTCATGGAGGAAGCAGGTAGAGAACTGTGCCATGAGGACTGCCACCAGCGTCACAGAACAAAATTAGTATGAAGGGGAGCTCTGGTGGCCTACTGGTAAGGAGCTGCAACTACAATCCCAGAGGCGCACGGTTCGAATCCACCAGATGCTCTGCCGGGGAAGGAGGGACAATCTCCTCCTGTACCAGTCAGATCTGATTTGACGGTACACTCACACAAAAATAATAAAATAAAATAAAAAAATAAAAAAAATTAGTATGAGCTGTTGTACAGAAGCCCAATGTGTTCTGTAAACTTTCACCCACGTGACAATAAAAGGTTAAATTAGTAAACAAAGACATTTCAAAGAGCTACTTTCAAGGTAGGAGGCAGTTCCGAAGAGGGCCCCTCCCGGGCCCAGCACTCACCTGTATTTGAAGGAGAGCTTCTGAACAATAGCCTTCATCTTGTCCACCTGCTCCTGGTTTGCCACGACTTTGTCGGTCACGGGCACGTTCCGCTTATCGTCGGCGTAGGGGAGGAAGACAAGCTGGAAGCCTGAAGTAAGGAGACGAGTGTTCTAAGATCCGACTTAACAAAGGGCATCATTTATTAAGCTGCCATTTCTCTTTCAGCCCGTTTCGCCCATCTATGCCCCGTTCTGCTGAGCCGGGTCCCTGTAACCTCCATCTATGCCCCGCTATTAAGCTGCCATTTCTCTTTCAGCCCGTTTCGCCCATCTATGCCCCGTTCTGCTGAGCCGGGTCCCTGTAACCTCCATCTATG